CCCATCCATTTCTATATATCGGTGTAATATAGTGCATGTCGGATTGAATGAGCAATGCTCTTTTGTTTTCATACTTGAATCAATAACGATATCTTGTGAACCTATGAATTCTCTCCGATTAACTTTCAGATACGTATCTATCGTCTATAACTCATATTTAAATTAGTTGTTTCTGCTCGCGATGGCAACAAGTGGCGAAGATGAACATTTTGCTCAACGTGTTCTACGCCTGACTGACATTCCAAAAGAACCTATGGATTTCCTTATGCCTATCAGCGGTTATGAAGAAATGCCCCTTGTTTCACTTGAAGAAGCAATTGAACCACTCGTGTCTATACTACCAGCAGTGAAAAGTTACGCACGTGCGGCCAAAAAACAATGTAAGAAGCCGGCTGATAATTTGACGCAAGATGAATCAGCTTCGATCATGCTCTATTCAATGGGATGGGAGCCATTGGATAAATGCCTTTATTGCGCTTTGAATGCTACTCTACGGTCGAAAAATCGAGAAAATCTTAAACCATGGTTTCTCTTTCTTCGCCTTTTTCTTGCAGCATTATTTCGCCTTCCACCGATTCCTCACCTAACAGTATTTCGAGGCGTCAAACTGGATTTAAGCGAAAAATTTAAAAAAGACGAAACATTCATATGGTGGGGCTTTTCTTTCTGCACAACTTCCATCGAAGTTCTCCAATCAGAACAATTCTTAGGCATGGAAGGTACAAGAACAATGTTTACTATTCAATGCAATTCAGCTAGAGATATTCGAAAACACTCGTATTTTCCATTTGAAGACGAAGTACTGTTGCTTGCTGCCACTGAGTTCCAAGTGAAAGGTATTGTCGACCAAGGTCACGATCTTCGAACTATTCAGCTGCAAGAAGTTCAGTCCGATGAACCAATGCTCATTCCAGTATCATGCACAAGTGACTCAGTTGATTTATCTGCCGGAAAACTGAAAGATTTGGAAGTGAAAGACGATGTCACCGAATCAAAGATCATATCAAAGCAGGCAGCTACAACAACATCAGCGTCGAGCCCGAAAGTGAAAGATGATATCAGTGAACCAGAAACCATATCAAAGCAAGCAGCCCCAACGACATCAGCGTCGAGTCCAAAAGTGAAAGATGATATCAGTGAACCAAGCACCATATCAAAGCAAGCAACCTCAACAACATCAGTGTCGAGCCCAAAAGTGAAAGATGATATCAGTGAACCAAACACCATATCAAAGCAAGCAGGCCCAACGACATCAGCGTCGAGCCCAAAACCAAAAGTTGATGCATCTGAAAAGATTGCTTCACAGTTGGGTATGTTAACATATAGAATACGTTGCCAGTGTTGAGTACAGATCAACAATAGCAGTCATCATCTTGAAGATGGGTGTGGGTGTGAATGAAAACAGATTACACATCCGGATTGGTGAACGATGAGCACAATGAAAGATGAGCACGGAAAGCTAAGCACAAATAAAATAAAATAAAATAAGACTGAGAGTCTGGGTGTGGGTAAGTAGGTGTCGATGTGAATGTGGATGAAATCATATATTCAACTAATGTCCACACCCACACCCTCACGCGCACCTTCACCCACATATTTACCCACACTCATACAACACCCTCACACGACACTTCATTGCATAAGGTGGTATCAAAGACAGTTTTGTTTTTTAATAATAAATCATAGTTAGTTGATTTTCATTTTGAAATAATTGTTTTTCATACTATTGGATCAGTTAATACTCGATATCGGAAAAAATTATTAAGTCTCACATTCAAAAACTAAAACATTTTCTAATAGGTAGCGCAATAGGTATTGATTTGGGTACAGTATATTCATGTGTGGCAGTATTTCAAGATGGCAAAGTTGAAATCATAAGTAATGATCATGGTAACCGAACAACACCATCATATGTTGCATTCACTGATAGTGAATGTTTAATCGGTGATGCTGCTAAAAATCAAATATTTATGAATCCAAATAATACAGTTTTTAACGCTAAGCGACTTATTGGTCGTAAATTTGATGATACAACAGTTCAAGCTGATTTGAAACACTGGCCATTTAAAGTTATTAGTGATAGTGGTAAACCAAAAATTCAAGTTAAATATAAAAATGAAACAAAATCATTTACCCCTGAAGAAATTTCATCAATGGTTTTATCCAAAATGAAAGAAATTGCTGAAGCTTATCTTGGGAAAAAAATCTCTGAAGCTGTTATCAGTGTTCCAGCTTACTTTAATGATTCCCAAAGAAAAGCAACAAAAGATGCTGGTATGATTGCTGGTCTTAATGTTTTACGTCTTATTAATGAACCAACAGCTGCTGCTATTGCGTATGGTTTAGCTAAAAAAGTATCTGGTGAAAGAAATATTCTTATTTTTGATTTGGGTGGTGGTACCTGTGATGCATCAGTACTTACAATTGACGAAGGTGTCTTCGAAGTCAAATCAATAGCTGGTGATACACATTTAGGTGGTGAAGATTTTGATAACCGAATGGTTGCACATTTTGTTCAAGAATTCAACAGTAAAAATAACGAAGATTTATCACAAAATAAACGTGGTCTTTGTCGTTTACGTACAGCTTGTGAACGTGCTAAAGTAGGTTAATTAAATATATTTGGCAATTGAATTTATTAATTTATTTTTCTTTCTTTCTTTTTAAAAATAGCGTGCATTATCATCATCATCACAAGCTTCAATTGAAACTGATTCACTTCATGAAGGTATCGATTTCTATTCAACAATTACACGTGCTCGTTTTGAAGAACTTTGTGCTGATCTTTTCCGTTCAACACTTGAACCAGTTGAAAAAGCTTTACGTGATGCTAAAATGGATAAAGCAAGTATTCATGAAATTGTACTTGTTGGTGGTTCAACACGTATTCCAAAAGTACAAAAATTACTTCAAGATTTCTTTAATGGAAAAGAATTAAACAAACCCATTAATCCAGACGAAGCTGTTGCTTATGGTGCAGCTGTTCAAGCAGCTATTTTAACTGATGATAAATCAGAAGAAGTTAAAGATGTACTTTACCTTGATGTTGCACCACTTTCATTGGTAAGAAAAAAAAACGTTTTCTCATTCGTATTTATTTTATTTTATTTTAAAGGGTATTGAAACTACTGGAGGTGTCATGACAGTTTTAATTAAACGTAATACAATCATTCCAACAACAAAAAAACAAACATTTACAACCGATTCGGATAATCAATCTGCTATTGGTATTTCAGTCTATGAAGGTGAACGCGCAATGATAAAAGATAACCGTTTACTTGTTTATTTCGAACTTTCTGGTATTCCACCAGCTCCACGTGGTGTACCACAAATTGAAGTTACATTTGATATTGATGTAAATGGTATTTTGAATGTTTCAGCTGTAGAAAAAAGTTGTGGACTAAAAGTTGAGTGCAAAATAAATTGATATGACTGGTTTGGACCTTTCGCAAGGATCATCTTCAAGTAATTCTAACTCAACATTAATTTAAAAACAATTCCTAGAATGTGAAATGAATAATTTGTAGTTACGAAAATGAAAATGTAGAAACAGAAAAATTTTCAAATAAAGAAAGTATAAATAGATGCTATATTCAATGCAATATAATTGGGGTCAGAAGGGTGGGGTGTGAGAGAAATTACCATAAAACTAAATAGTTCTGCGAAGTTATTTTGATAAGAAGAATTATCAAATGGCTTAAAAGTAAAATGAAATGGTGATTTCCAATGGCATGAGAAAGCACCTAAATTTCAATTTACAAGAAGATTTATATAAAATCATAGAGTGTGGGTGTGGGTGTGAGTATGGTTGGGTGTGACTGTGCATATTATGTTCATCACACATCTACACCTACACCCACCCTTCATTTTATTTCTTTTCGAATCAAAAGTTTCTCTTTTATTTTTTTTAGTTGAACGCAACAATTTCATTTAGATATCAGTTAATGATGTGGGTGTGTGTGTGGGCGTAGATAATGATGATTATAAAGAATAAATAGAATATCAACACCCACACCCGCACCTACACCCACCCTTCGTTATGATTTTCATTTTATTATATATAGACATATCATCAGCAGAGAAATAGTTGAAGACATGCAATCGAAATATTTTTCGATAAACTTACACTTGTTATTTATTATATAAATTTTGCTAAATCATTTCCGGTGAATACATTGACAAATTCATTTTTTCGACGAGGTTTTTGTGAAAGGATAAACTATTTAGTGACGTATATTTGTCATTTGAAAAAAAAGTATGTTAAAATAATTTGTTTCGTAAGAGAATTTGAAAATTAAAAAGATTTTCTTTTAATTTTAGAAAAAGAATGTGTGATTACACGTTTGCACATTAAAGATGGACATATTAAAGTGTGGGTGTGAGCACGATTACTATATGACTTTATCATTCGTTTTGAAATTGCGTTCATGATTTTTTTTCTCTAATCTCCATAATATTGACTTTTATTTTTCTTCTGAAAGGCAATTTGATCTACAAAGACAAATATGAAGAACATGACATATGCTTAGTAATTAAGTATCGTACACAAATATGCCATACAAAATGAATAGGAATGGATAAAATAACAGC